GAGGGGTGTTCTCTCTGTGACAGAGGGGTGTTCTCTCTGTGACAGAGGGGTGTTCTCTCTGTGTCACAGAGGGGTGTTCTCTCTGTGTGTTCAGAGGGGTGTTCTCTCTGTGTCAGAGGGGTGTTCTCTAGAGGGGTGTTCTCTCTGTGTCAGAGGGGTGTTCTCTCTGTGTCAGAGGGGTGTTCTCTCTGTGTCAGAGTGGTGTTCTCTCTGTGAGAGGGGTGTTCTCTCTGTGTCAGAGGGGTGTTCTCTCTGTGTGTTCAGAGGGGTGTTCTCTCTGTGTGTTCAGAGGGTGTGTGTGTTCTCAGAGGGGTGTTCTCTCTGTGTGTGTCACAGAGGGGTGTTCTCTCTGTGTCAGAGGGGTGTTCTCTCTGTGTGTCAGAGGGGTGTTCTCTCTGTGTCTGTGCTCAGAGGGGTGTTCTCTCTGTTCTGTGTTTCTGTCGTGTTGTTGGTTCATGTGAAACTTTTCACACATTATACGTGTGCAGGTGGTGCACAGACACACGTTTATGTGACTGGACACATGTTGTGTGTCTTAGTGTTTTGTGGTGAATTTGGTGGTGAATTTTCAGGCGTCCACACGGTGCCGGATCAGATCTGTACAAACATGAACTCGTGGAGCTGGAGGCACCAGATCGTTCCGTCTCTGGAGCCGTTTTCCATTGGATTAGTGTGAACGACACTGTACACACAACAACCCCACTCACATACTCTATAAATATACTCTGTAAATACTCATATATAAATATACCATGAATTTTTCAGTACAATTTGTCTTAAAATCCATATAAATTGCAAAAATCTTTGGTTTAAAGACTTAAACGACTTAAAGCTCAAAGCAGACGACTTGGACTTGACTTGGACTTGACTGTATTTGACTCGGACTTGAGGTCAAAGATTAGAGACTTACTTGAGACTTGCAAAACAACGACTTGGTCCCACCTCTGGTCGGGGGTCTCTGCTCCAGGTCCATCAGTTTGGGGAGTGATATGTCCCTTTAAATATTGCACCATGAACTTAAATCCGTAATGAGATCGTCGAGTCAGATTTGCATATTGTTCTCTCCCTGATTCTTGTTATAAATTGTGTTTTATTCTGTGTGTTTAAGTAAAGTTGCCTAATTACACATCTCCATCTCGGTGCCAGCCACATCCCGGCGTTCAGTTCACCTCCAAAAGTCTGCGGTGTAAATCTTGGCTTTATTACGCTGGTGAAAGCTTTACTGCACTAATCCTTTCTACATCTTCAAACAAGTGCGAGGCGTGAACACAAGAAGCTTTCAGGCTCTGAGCGCGCGGACTGCATCAAAAGCATCCATAAACAACAATACATTATCCCCGCTATTTGCTCTGAACACTGGAACAAATATCTGAAATCTAACCAGCGTCTTCCGGAGGGATTCCTTTTCGTTTCCTTCTCAATTAACCCAAAAACAGCTCGTGACGTTAATGGCTCCGAACGTCCGAGAAGCAGAGGTGCAAGAGAAGCCAAAAATGGATAAAAAGAAAAAAAAGTCGACTTCTACTTCAAAATAATAATACTCAAATAGAAGTGAGAAAAACTGGTCCAAGAAATTACTCAAACAGATTAAAGGTCCGGGATTATGTAAAACCGACTCCTGTGAGATTTAAAGCTCAAAAACAGACGTAGAGTTTTGTTTTATTTTATTTTATTCCGACATGTTTGAGTAAATCTTTATTCTGAGTCTGTTACATCTCCAAAGCTGCAAACGCTCTGCTCCACCTTGTGATGTCATGAAGTGGTAGTTTGTATTTTTTTTTGTGATAAACTTTTTGTACTGATTTACAACAATAATCGCAGTGACTGAACTTTCAGGAATTCTGAAATGATGTAATGATGTAATCACACGTGTAGAGCTCGCACGTACGTATGTATTTATGGTAACACTTTGTAATAACTACACCTTATTTAGCCTTAATAAAGCATGAACAAAGACTTAATTAATAATGAGTCACGCTTAGTAACTACTTAATTACTGCCTTAATTAGCACTTGCACTTAATTTGCCTGTGCTGTAAATAGTTACTCATAATTATTTAATACTTAATTACTCATGAACTAACTATATTTAAGTACAAATTTGAGCATTTATTAATGATTAATAAGCTATGAGAGAATGATTTATTAATAATGCAATGCAGTGATAATTCCGGCAGCTGTTATCTGTTAGTTAAGTCTTTTTGAGAGCTTTTCTGACGTGAAGAAATAATTATGAGTAACTATTTACAGCACAGGAGAATTAAGTGCAAGTTAAAGGTTGTATGGAGGATTTTTTTTTATTTTTTAATTTTTTCCAAATTGTCAATAAATGTTTAAAATACCATTACAGAGACACAGCAGCCTTGTAATTATGATGACCAAAAAAAAAAGAATGAAAATCTAGTGAGGCCAGATAAACATCAGCCAATAGAAAACGAGGCTCCCTCATTTTCTATTGGCTGTAAGGTTGTCAATCAAACTCCCTGCGTTTCTAGTGTAAGTGACTTATGCGGCGGTTCTTAGAGGCTTTTTCAAACTGTCGCTTCCTTGCAATTCGCACAAAGTTTGTTGCGACGGCGGACGAGAATCCACGACCAGTTCGTCGCAAAAGAAAGTCCGTTTTTGAGGTCGCAGAAAAAAAGACGAGAAGAGGAAAAGGAGCGAAGACAAACTGAGGTGATTCTTGGCGATTTCTTCCAGCGATGACACGACTGAAGCAGACGAAGGGTCTAAAAACTGACGCGTCGGTCGCTAAATTACTTCTCGACAGGAAACTTCAGCGGTGATTCTGAACGCGCACTGGCTGTAAACAAGTGTGATTTCTAGAGTAAAGAGGCGGGAGGAGGAGGTGTTTCTGCTGAGGAGCTGTGGAGGAGGAAGGGGGTGTCGCACATGTACAACATTTGAAAAAGGACTGTCGCTGTATTTCTTTTCCCTTAAATAAGTCCTCTATACAACCTTTAAGTGCTAATTAAGGCAGTAATTAATAGGGCTGTGCAAAAATATCGGAATATCGATATATCGTATCGTTTAATGTGATCATACAGTATCGATATCGTGGGCTGCTGTATCAATATTTCACTAAGAGTATTTTTAGGTGTGTTTTACTAAATTATTTTGTTACAGCTACAGTTTTGTTGTTTGTGGAGTCAAAGGAAACTCATTTATGCGACACATTTGACATTTTTACTGTTTTGATGATTAAAATGTTTGTGTTTCATTTTAACTTTGCACAAGAAGTGGATTTAACAAAGACTTTTAGTATCACAGACATGATTTAGCCTTTATTTTTTATTGAACCGTATCGAATCAATTTGAAATATATCATATCGAATCGAAAGTTCACTGTATCGAGATATGTATCGTATCGGCAACTCCTTAATGATACCAGCCCTAGTAATTAAGTAGTTACTAAGCGTGACTCATTATTAATTAAGTCTTTGTTCATGCTTTATTAAGGCTAAATAAGGTGTAGTTATTATAAAGTGTTACCGTATTTATTCACAAATATTACAATTCTCAAGTTTGTTTTATATAGAAAAAGAAAAACAAGAAGAAGAATCTCCTCCCACTCTGGTCCAGAACCTCAGCCAAACAAACATCTACTGCAAAATTGTTGGAGACGTTTAATAAAAACATGCGTCGCTCTCGGCCTCGTGCACACTGGCTGTAGACAGTTCTGTTGGGTTAGATCCAAAAACTTTAATGTCCAAGTATGAACAGAGAAACTATATTTAGATGCCTTTAATAAGAATTTCTTTACAGGAGGCTCAGACAGACGACTCCTTTAAGATGAAGTGGTCGTTTTCAAGTGAACAGCTCCTTTTCCTTTTAGTTCAGTCGAGATCAGCGACTCCAGGACTGAAATGATCCAGATGATTGTAGTGAAGGTTTCACGGATCTGTTAAAATAACTGGAGGGAGCTGCTGCTTGTGTCTGTCTTGAGTTGGAGCAGTGGACACTGGTACCACAGCCAAAAAAAACAACAAAAAACAGTCCAGAAAGGATTTTTCCCACAGGGCGTAAAGTAATCACAAACTGCTTGTGTTCAGCCGACAGGGACTGACAGGGACTGACAGGAGCTGACAGGGACTGACAGGGCACCTACAACTTTAAAAAAATGTCAGAATTTTTGTGGAGATTTTTACCTATTTTCAGATCATAATTTTTTCTCAGCTCTCAGTTGTCTTAAAAACAGATTTTTAATCTTTACTCCGGCTCTGCTCTGGCTCCTCTCTGGCTCCTCTCTGGCTCCTCTCTGGCTCCTCTCTGGCTCCTCTCTGGCTCCGCTCTGGCTCCTCTCGCTCTGATTGGTCAAAACGATCATGTGAGAAAGTGTGTGGAGGTTAAAACATAGAACTAGAATCTAATCTGGAAGATGAACCCAAGATGGTGTGGTGTTGTTTTCCGTGGCCTCTGCTCGTCGACTCATGAGCCTAAAAAAAAAGTTCACTTCTGCATTTACTTCCTGAATCGAGCTCCTCCCACCCGAGTGACGTCTGTAACGTGGAGCGTTTGGACCAATCAGAGCGAGAGGAGCTGGAGCGAGCGAGAGCAGCGAGGCTCAGTCTGACAAAGACACTTTAGGAGGATTTAAACTTTTTTTTTAAAGTTTATGTTGTGAAAATAGAAAAGAATCCTACTAAATCTGACCTTTGTGAAGCTGGACGCCCTGAAGAACACGAGGAGGTTCAATTCCCAAAATGTTTTGCCTCTGAGGGAGAATTTTTTCTGGGCCCAAACTCCTGCTGGGACAGAAGGGGGAGGGGCTTATCCAGTTTTTATTATAGATCCCTGGTTTAAAAACACAGTGGAGCACTTCCTGTATCACCACATGACATCACAAGGTGGAACAGAATCAGTTTGAGAGAATTACTCGGCCTAAATGTGCAAAAAAGTCAGAGTTAAACATGTGAATGAAACAGAGTAAAGGGTGTAAACGTGTGTTTTACGTGTGCTGGACTCTCATGTTGTTGTGTTGTGTTTGTGTTTGTGTTGCAGCTCTGTGTTCGGAGGAGTGTGTTCACGGTCGGTGTGTGTCTCCGGACTCGTGTCAGTGTGAACCGGGCTGGGGAGGTCTGGACTGCTCCAGTGGTGAGTCGCCTTGAACTCTGTAAAGACCCTTAGAGACCCTTAGACCCTTAAAGACCTTTAAAGAGTGTTCGGTGAATGGTACATGTGTTTGTGTGTGTGTGTGTGTGTGTGTGTGTGTCTCTGTGTGTGTGCGTGTGTGTGTGTGTGTGTGTGTGTGTGTGCACTTGTATCTCAAAGCTGCTTAGCTGTGTGTCCTCTCTTCTATAGCAAACACAGCCAATGGAACAGGTAAGGCTCTATTCATTCTCATTTGCTGAACTATTTGCCTGATGAACCCAGAGAGTGGACGGATGTGTGGTCCCCGTGTGTGTGTGTGTGTGTGTGTGTGTGTGGTCCCCGTGTGTGTGTGTGTGTGTGTGTGTGTGTGTGTGTGTGTGTGTCGGGGACGGTGCCAGGCGCGGTCTTTGTCCTGTTGTCTCGTGTCTCTGGGAGGTTCCTCGGAGCTCAGAGGAGTGAGTCGTATCCGCTCTGTAATCAGCCTAATGTTCACATCAGACTCGCCAGAAGCTCTCTGCTCTTTTAAAGCCCCACCGTGGAACATTTCAGCCAAAAAATACACCCGATTAAGAAAAGTTTTTGGATTTTGAGTGTCTGTTGTTACCGTGAATGAGCTCGCACCTCCACAAACCTGACTTTTGCTTCTGTGGGGGAAGGTCCTGCTCGTCTCCATGGAAATGTCAGTCCTTTAATGAGAATATTCCAGAGTCTGTCTCCTCGGCTCAGGTCTCCAACCTTTTTCCCCCTGAGCTACTTTGTGTAAAACCAAAATGCCACAGAGCTGCTCGTTCAGAAACAGAAGAAATATCAGAGGCTCGGTGACGGGAACAGTCAGACTGCGTTTACACACAGAGTCCAAACTGAGAGAAACGAATATTTCCCTCCCTCCGTTTTCCAAAATCACATCGTGCAGCGTCGTTTTCCAAAAAGTTTTTATTTACATCGACCTGAATAAATCCAAACATCATCAGAACGACACCGAGTCTCTGGATCAGACTCAAACCTGTAGATTTTGTTTCATTACAGTTGTAAGTTTCATTCACAAATCTGTTTAAAATGGAGCATGAGTGAGCGGCTCGCCTCTCCACAGATCTGACACAGCCTCATGTGTCTCTGGTCTGTGTGTAAATGAAACACATGAATCATCATCATCATCATCAGAGTAAAAGGGAAACTCTGGTGGCACTTCTGGCGTCGTCAGTGTCGGGGAGTAACAGATTACAAGTACCGGAGTTAAGTAATCAGAGTACAAATGATGAGTAACTGTATTCAGTTACAGTTACTGTTTCAGTGAGTGGGAATTGGATTACAGTTACTTTGCTGAAATAAATGGATTAAACAGAGGGATTTTCCTATGTTCACATTTTGGACTGTATCCCTTTTTTTTTTTTTTGGTAATTCCACTCATTGCCGGACAATAAAACCAGGACTAAACCAGGACTAAACCAGGACTAAACCAGGACTAAACCAGGACTAAACCAGGACTAAACCAGGACTAAACCAGGACTAAACCAGGACTAAACCAGGACTAAACCAGGACTAAACCAGGACTAAACCAGGACTAAACCAGGACTAAAACCAGGTCTAAACCAGGTCTAAACCAGGTCTAAACCAGGACTAAACCAGGACTAAAACCAGGTCTAAACCAGGTCTAAACTAAACCAGGACTAAACTAAACCAGGTCTAAACCAGGTAAACCAGGTCTAAACAGGACTAAACCAGGTCTAAACCAGGTCTAAACCAGGACTAAACCAGGCCTAAACCAGGTCTAAACCAGGTCTAAACCAGGACTAAAACCAGGTCTAAACCAGGTCTAAACCAGGAAACCAGGACTAAACCAGGACTAAACCAGGACTAAACCAGGACTAAAACCAGGTCTAAACCAGGTCTAAACCAGGTCTAAACAGGACTAAACCAGGACTAAAACCAGGTCTAAACCAGGTCTAAACCAGTTTAAACCAGGTCTAAACCAGGACTAAACCAGGTCTAAACCAGGTTTAAACCAGGTCTAAACCAGGTCTAAAGGTTTAAACCAGGTCTAAAACTAAACCAGGACTAAACCGGGTCTAAACCAGGACTAAACCAGGACTAAATCCTGCTGTGTGGACGTGTTTCTTTTTTCTATCAATAATATTTTTAATTTGGTTCAGTAAAGTTTGGACTTTTTATTTTCTTTTATCAGACAAAACTTCTTATGTGAAGATTTCCTCGTCTTTGTTTCTCTACAGCAAATCAAGTAATCCAAAGTAATCAGATTACATTACTCACTTTAAGTAATTTAATGGATTACGTTACAAACTACATTTTGGTGTGTGTAATCTGTAATCTGTAGGGGATTACATTTTAAAAGTAAACTTCCCAACACTGTCTGTACAGGCGCTGACAGGTGTTGACAGGTGTTGACAGGTGCTGACAGGTGTTGACAGGTGCTGACAGGTGCTGACAGGTGCTGACAGGTGTTGACAGGTGTTGACAGGTGCTGACAGGTGTTGACAGGTGTTGCTTTAACTCAGATTTTGAACTGAAAGCTTCCGAGCGTTTGACCCGGGGTTTGTGCTGCAGCGGCGGCGTTAAACACTGATGTTGCGAACGTCGTGTTCAGAGTGACAGTGTTGGGAAGTTTACTTTTAAAATGTAATCCCCTACAGATTACAGATTACATACTCCAAAATGTAGTTTGTAACATAATCCATTAAATTACTTAAAGTGAGTAATGTAATCTGATTACTTTGGATTACTTGATTTGCTGTAGAGAAACAAAGACGAGGAAACTGAACCGTATTAAAAATATTATTGATAGAAAATGAAGAAACACGTCCACACAGCAGGATTTAGTCCTGTTAAATCCTGTTTTAGACCTGGTTTAGTCCTAGTTTAGACCTAGTTTAGACCTAGTTTAGACCTGGTTTTAGTCCTGGTTTTAGTCAGTGGTCTTTTAGTTTCCAGCAATGAGTGGAATTACCGAAAAAATAAAAATAATTAAATAAAAATAATGTGAAAACAGTAAAATCCCTCTGTGTAATCCATTTATTTCAACAAAGTAACTGTAATCCAATTACCACTCACTGAAACAGTAACTGTAACTGAATACAGTTACTCATCATTTGTACTCTGATTACTTAACTCCAGTACATGTAATCTGTTACACTGAGTGAGTCATGGAGCCAGACTCACGCGCAGATCGACGCCTTTTCATTTGCACGAGAGCCATTTCCTGATTAGTGCCGCGCGTAAATCACAGGGGCCAGAGGGGGCGGAGTCTGATGTGACAGAGCTGGGGGCGGGGGGGGTTCGGTCCCGGGGGGGGGGTCTCGGGGGGGGGGGTTCCGGGGCCCCTCTGTGGGAGGCTGTGCAGGTGCTGAGCTAATCCACCTCAGTGGAAGAGCTGCTGCGGAGTGAGTGGAAGCATTATTCATAAGTGTAGATCTCGGGCCCAGGCAGGAGTCCAGGCTTTCTCATTTGCAAGCTTTCATGTGCAGAAATGAGCAGCGCGTGCCAATTCTCAAATTAAATCTGCCCTCCTTTTTCCTTTTCCGTTGTGCGAGTGCTTCAGCGTTTTCTGTGCCCGTAAATTTGAGCGGACGCCTCGTGGAAAAGGTGCGTCGCGTTCATCTTCGGCAGATCGAAATCGATGCCGCGCTTTATTTGCACTTTGTTTTGATGAGGCCGGAGCCGAGGAGGAGACGGGGGCTTAAAGTGTCACCGTGACGACGGAGTAGGACGCGAAGAAGGCCCAGAGCGAAGCCGGTACCTCAGCCCGGTCCTGGAGCCGCTTCAAAGACCTGCTTTTGAGTTCTCTGCCTCGGGGAAGGCTCCTTATTGTGGGCAGAAGGTAGAGAGAGAGAGTTTTGCTGTTGTCCGTAAAGTCCAAAAACACAGATCTTCCTCTCCTCATCCTCTCCTCCTCCTCCTCTTCCTCTTCCTCGCTCCCACCCTCAGGCGTTCCAGCTGACCTCAGATCAGTGCCCACAGCAGGAGGCTCCAAAACAAAAGTGTGAGGCTCAAGAAGTGAAAAGGAGCTGTGTTTTGGACGTACGTGTAGAGTCAGATCTGTGTTTTGGGCGTCTGTGGAGAGTCAGATCTGTGTTTCGGGCGTCTGTGAGAGTCAGATCTGTGTTTCGGGCGTACCTGGCAGAGTCAGATCTGTGTTTCGGGCGTACCTGCAGAGCTGGAGCTGTGTTCTGAGTGTGTGGTTCCACAGGAGCTGCTGTGGTGAATGGAGATCTTGGTGCCTGCTGCTCACTGCTGTGGAAAATACATCACTAATTTCACTAATCACCATCACATCACTTTTATTCCAAGTTTCATTTTTTACGTCTCTCCAGCCAGACCCAGACACATTTGACCCACATCCTGATTTACTGTGTACACAGTAGAACACGTAGAATGTGTTCTAACGTTCTAATCTTCTAATGTTCTAATGTTCTAATGTTCTACCAAATATTGATCTTCTAAAAAGCCCTGGCCTGGGAACTGTAAACACAAAAATCAAAATTCAACAAAATATTCTGACCGTAGCTGATAAAATTAATTATAATTGTTCTAAAGTTTGGATCTTGTGGATCTTGAGTTTACTGAAGTCCCAACAATGCACCGATCCAGCTTTTTCAGCTCCTACTGACACTGATCTTTTTACTTTAAGTATCGGCCGATGCTCAAGATGAACCGATACCAGTGTAGAGCCTGAGATTGGACCTTATTTTCTTTAAAAAACAGTTCACTTTCACAGAGTTCAAACTGTGTAAATGTCACAGTTTATCTCCTTTAAATCATAATTTGTTTGAGTAAAAGTTCTAAAATTACGAGATGTTAAATCTGTAAATCGTCTCATTAGGTCCAGTTAAAGCTCGGTCAGTATCGATACGTTCTTAATCATGGGTGTAGATCCTGTGTGTTCAGGATGTTTGTGTTTTATATTAGAACAGTTCTCAGGCCGGAGAACCTCACACGAGTCCTGGCGGTGAGACCGGTGGCTGGACAGACGGGTTCTTCTCATCCATGGT